TCCTTCCTCTTCCTAAATCAATCTCAGTCTCACCCCTGTACTTCACACTGTGGCCCGCTTGCTACTTCTGGGGCACATTCTTCTCTCAGCTTGTTTCTTCCCCCCTCACCAGCTGCTCCTTTGTGGTCTCTGAGGCCACTGCTTTGGCTCTTTCTAGATCCCCACCCGTTGCACCAGGTGATCCCCTGCGTTCCTATGTCTGCCTTCATTTTTACAGTGATGATGACAGTAACTCATGTGGACCAAGCATGTACAGAGCTTGCCAAAAAATTGTATATACACTTCCATTCACCACACTAATAAATGTCTGGAAGCTAATGGTCAACACTTTGAGCACCTCTTGAATTGTAGAGGCCAAAGGTAACTTGCATTAATCTCATTATGTCTCAAAAAGTTTAGTACTAAAATATTGATACAAATTTTTCTTTTCCTGATGTACATATATTTTTGGCAGGCTCTATTTGCTGTCACTGGCCCACCACAGGACCCCTCTTCTGTGAGGCAGGTGTTGGTATTTCCATTTTACATACTTCCCTAGGCTCACAGCTACTAAGTGGGGGAACCCAATTCCCCCCAGGGAATCAACCTGCGGCCCACCTGCTGCCCTACTGACTCACACGTCCCCACTCCAGCCTGGGCCTCTAACCTGAGCTCCCAATGCAGCCACTTAACTAGACTTGACATCCAGAAGGCTGCAGGCACCTCACATTTAAGCTAACCTGTGGCAGCCCCCTCGCCAAAACCCCCAGTCATGCTCTTCTCCTTTTCCCTCACATCCCAGGATCAGATTTTTAGCAGGAGCCTTTTCCTCTGCCTGTAGAAAATATCCCATTACCACTCTCTTTTCATCACTGTTATTATTAACACCAGGCCACCCTGGCTCCCCTGGGCACTGCAACCTGACAACTGGTCCCTCTCCACCACTGGAGTTACACCGAAGCACTAGTAGAGAGAGGGGTTTATAAGGCATATGTGAGACCACCTGCTGGCTTCCTTAGGATAAAATCCAGTCCTTGTCCTGGCTGCAGGCCTTCTGTCATCCAGGCCCTACCCACCGTCAGCAGCATCTCCTGAGCCTTGTCCTTGCTCTGCCACTCCACTGACACAGGATTTTTGCTTCCCTTAAACACACTTGACTCCTTTGCATTTCAGGGTCTTTGCAGTGACTATTAGTGTTACTTTGCTTAGCTCACGCTCCATCCAAAGGACTGCAGTGTACTTGCTTCAACTCTTCTTGACCATAGTATCTAAGTCTCCTCCTGTTCTTTTCTTCTGTTAGCCCCTAGTGTCTACCTTTCTGTATCCTTTTTTTTTTTTTTTTTTTTCTGTCTTTTTGACACAGCATCGCACTATACAATTCAGGCTGGCTTTGAGCTTACTTTGTAGCCCAAGATGGCCTTGAAGTCTCAACAGTCCTCCTGCCTCAGCCTCCAAGTGCTGAGGTCACAAGTGTGCACCACCACGCCCCACATCTTCAGAGTGCTTCTCTTTACTAAAGTTGTAGTGAATATCTTGTTCACTGTTTATCATTTCTCTCCCCCTCAGCGATGAGATCTTTGTCTTATTGACCTCTGTGTTCCTAGCATGGGCCATAGAGAGAGAGCACAAAAAGTATTGCCGAATGGATGGGCTGATGGGTGAATGGGTGGATGGCTGAAAACGTGTGCCCCGGATTTCCTGAGTCTAGAGGCCATTGCCCCCAGCCCCATTCCTTAGCGTTGTGCTGTGCGAGAAAGTTACTCCCACTTCCTTAAGCCTTTTTCTTTATCTTTAATGAAAGACTAACAGTACTCTTACAGATAAAGTTAGGATAATCCATGATAAATATTAATAGCGTGTGACATAGAATAAGCTTATAAACAAAAATGGGCCCTAAATCCCGGTGCTCTGGGAGGCTGAGGCAGGTAGATTGCAAGTAAAAAAGCCCAACTGGGCACCTTAGCAAGACCTTGTGTAGGGATATAGTTCAGGATAAAAACTCTAGTTCAGTCACTAGTAGAGCAGACATAAATAATTTGGGGCTTTTTGAGGCAAGGTCTTGATGCATAGTTCAGGATAGCTCTGAACTCACTATGTAACCCTGGCTGGCCTCAAGCTTTCAGCAGTCCTCCTGCCTCAGCCTCCGTAGTGCTGGGATTACAGGCATGTGCCACCATGTCCAGCTATAGGCTTCAGGGATTGACCTCAGGCCCTTGCACTTGCCAGGCAAGCACTTATTCAACAGAGCTATCTCTCTCCAGCCCCCTACTTAGGATTTTTAAAAAATGTAAACAGCCTTTTTTTTTTTTTGGTGGTGGTGGTACTCAGGACCTTCTTGCCAGGCAAACACTTACTGCACTGCGCAATCTCCCCAGCCCCAACTTTTTATTTATAAATATAAACAAAACTATATTATTGTTTTAGTGTGCTTTCCATAAATGTTCTTGTTTTAAACACAATGTTCTTGTTTTTAATGGGCAGAATCTCTATCCCTCTTGGAAATATCTAACCCTTATTTAGTTTTCCTGGTAACAAAACAGCCAGGCTTGTAAGCAGCCTGACTGGGGAAAGGAGTCAAGTCAAGCGATGGTATTTGTGCTCCTGACTGCTGATCAAAATGTAGTTCAAGGGTCATGGAAAATCACTTGCTATCAGTTTTACTGCCCCTGAAGCACAACTAGAACCTTTAAGGGCTGTTACCTCATACCTCAACTAACAGGATCTCTGGGTCTTACTGTAATTGGTAGTTTGACCAGATTATAAACTTGTTCTTGAGGAAGCCTCAAGGTAAAAAATTGGCAGTTTTTTTTCTACCTGGTGATTTTCATGTAAACTAGCAGTCTTTCTCTCTGCCAAAAGGATATAATGTAAAAATTTGGAGGGGGGAATACTGTCTCCTTCCCAACTATTTTGAAATTTTAAACATGTAGAAAAGCTGAAAAAATAATACACTGAACTTCTCATTGCTTTTTTTTGTGAATAAATTAAAAGTAGTCGATAAGTAGCCATTCAGCCTCCCCAGCACTGGGATTACAGGTGTGTGCCACCACGCCCAACTTAGGTGTCCTGCACAGTGGCACGGCATGCGGTGCCGGGGATCAAACCCGGGTCCTTGCGCTTGCCAGGTAGGAACTTGGACCACTGAGCTATCTCTCCAGCCCCTTCATTGCCTTTTATCTTCTGTTTTGAGTCACAGTCCCACTAAGTTGCCCAGACTAGCCTCAGACTTGCCATTTTCCTGCCTCAGCCTCCTCAGGAGCTGGGACTTCAAGTGTGTGCCACCGCACGCAGCAAAGGTGTTCTCTTACTATCCTTATCCCATCTAGTAAACTTAGTATCAGATAGTGTATATAGTCTATGTTCACACTTGCTTATTTCAGAAATACAAATGCGTAGGTAGAAGTATGCATATGTGTATCTACATTTTGATCCAAGATCCAATATTTATAAATTGCAGTTGGCTGTGGCTTTTAGATCTTTCATTAGATTGGTACTTTTGAAGAGTATAGGCCACAACCTCATTTTCTTCAAACCAAAAGATTCGGTTTAGGTTAAACGTGTTTGGTAAAAAGGCCGTAAGGTAACGTGTACTTCCCATCATATATGTAGACATAAAATACCAACTTTTCCTATTACTGGTAATACATTTGATTAATGTGATATATTCCAGCCCTCTTCATTGTGACTGTATTATGTCCCTTACTAATTATAACTCTCTGGAGGTAGACTTTGGTTTGTGTGAAATCCTGTTTCCTATTCATTTTTCACTTTTTTACTCTCTTATTATTTATGATCCTTGCCTGATTTACTTACATCTGAAGTTGTACTATGAGGGTTTTCGGGGTGTTTCGTTTTACAGAAGAGCTTTCCATTTTTGTCCTTTCAGTATCACCACAGATTCATGATTCTTTCTGTTCTCTGTTTCTTTTGTGTTCTTGCTGTATTCTTTTTCTGTTGTTTTTCTGACTTTTGGCCAGTGGGAGCCTGTATCCTTTTAAAATGGCTCCAGAAGGGCCGAGGATGCAGCTCAGTAGTAAACATACCTGTTTAAGGGTTGTGTATCTGTTTTGTGCTTTTTACATTAAAAAAAAACAAGAGTCTTTTCATCACCCAAGAATCATTTTTTACCCCTTCAAGGTGATATTGCTCTTACTGAAAATGCACGAAGCCAGGAATAGTGGTACACACCTGTAATCCCAGCCATCTCTGAAACAGAAGGGCCACAAGTGCAAGCTCATCCTGGGAAACGTAACAACCTAGCAAGACTCTGCCTCAAAATTTAAAAAAGTAAAGAGATCTAGGGGTATAGCTTAGTGCTAAAGCCCCAACTGTTCAATCCCCAGTAATAGGAGGGGTTCGGTGCCTGGAATAGTTAGAAAAAGGAGGAGTAGATCTGACTTGTGATATAGTCATACATTTTATAATATGATAGCATACTTGTAAATTCTTCTGGAATAACAATATAATGTCAGTTCTTTCATTCCAGTAGCATTGTGGAGGTGTGGGTTACCCGCAGGCCAAGCTCACCATCCACTATAAGACCGTCATAGTTGACCAACAGGACGCTTCAGAGTCTACAGTCCTAATTCCTTTCTCCTCCAAACAAATCATTGGGATTTGGGCAGTACTGGTGAATCTAATCTTTTCCAATATGTCTTCTCTGGAATTACTTCATGTATAAGATACCACATAGGCTGTCTTAATGTTTAAGAGACATGTGCATGTTTCTCTGCAAGCATTCCTTTGTCCTGCCATAACTCCAAATAAAGAACCCCTTGGTCCTTGAGGGATACAGAGCAACTGCCAGGAAACAATTTTTGCTTTCTGCAGTGCAGATTATCTTTAGTGCCTTGTCTTCTCTCTCCTGGGTGTTTCTCTGTATGGTTTTACTATTTCCTGCCTCCCCCTCTTTTCCTGTCTTTGTCCTTCGCTTTCTCTACTCCCTCATTGCTTTCCTTTGTCCTGTGCTTCCGATTTCCTTCCTCCCTCTCCTACATGTTATCTCCTTTCTTTCCACTCAGGACTATGAGAGTAAATTGCAGGCCTTGCAGAAGCAGGTGGAGACCCGATCCCTGGCTGCAGAAACAACTGAAGAGGAAGAGGAGGAGGAAGAAGGTGAAATCCAGAGACCAAAACTTGCTCTTACATCTTTTGCATCTGTATTATCAAATTCATCCTTTGCATGTTACCAAAGCTGGGTTCCTCACATTTACTGTGTTATTGACCTTTCAAGGAGCCCTTTTAAAGATGAGGTAAAAGATGCTCAATGCTGAGAACCCATGTGTGTTTAGGGGTTGGGGCAGGGTTTCACTCAGTCTCCGTAGAAATCTCAGGAAGCTTATGTCTACTGTCATAAACAAGGAGCACAATCATTGTTAAGATAGTGTGTTCAATTTGTAGTTGATACCAGAGATTCTCTGTTGACAGCTTTGAAATGCATCAGGCTGTGTTGAAGCCATAGCTGGCCAACTTCAGATTACACTGCCCCCACGCTGGCGCATCTAAAGTTTTCCCCAGTTCTAGCCAAGTGAGGGCTTCACTGCTTTATCATCTTGCAATAGGAGCATTCATCCTCCTTCGTTTACTGCCTCGCCCCTCAGCAGTCTCAAGCTCTAAGTTAACTTTGAAGGAACTCTTAATATACTAAATTCTTCATTTTTAAATATGTAAATACAGTATGACCTTTCATTCCTATATTAGAAAAAACATGAGACCTTGTCTCAAAATGAAAAAGAAAAAAATGAGGAGTATAGCTCCATTCAGGTGTCCTCAGTTCATTCCCTAGTAACATACACACACAAAGAAAAGCAAATCTATTTCTTGACCTACTATTTTAAGTAAATAGTAGGGAGAACTGGCAAATAACATGATGGGTGAGCCAGGCGAGGGAGAGACGCAGTTTCCTTACACTTGTGTGATCATGTTGGCTATGCTTCGTTTGTCCTTTCAGTTCCTTGGACACAACATGAATTTGACTTGGCGCAGTGGGCCTTCCGCAAATGGAAGTCTCACCAGTTCACTTCGTTACGGGACCTGCTCTGGGGCAACGCCGTGTACCTGAAGGAGGCCAATGCCATCAGCGTGGAGCTGAAAAAGAAGGTACAGTAGGTGGCAGAGCGCTGGCCACCTGGAGGCAGCACGGAGCCTGGATGGGCTCACCTGCACCCTGGCCTGGACGTCGCCTTGCCCAGGGCGCCCAGCCCTGCTCCTGAGCCCTGCTCTGTCCGGCCCTTAAGAAACCCTTCCAAGAGCAGTGTTGGCCTCTCAGTTTGCAATGGAAAACCTTATGTGTTCCGTCCTCTCTCATTGGTGAAGGACTGGAAATGCGTTCTCTGGCCCACCTTTCAAACTCTTGTGAAGTCCCACAGAAATCCTCACCCACTCAACCAAAATATATTTAATGAGGTTTTAGTTTGTGCAGAATTACCTTGTAAGGCTAAAGAAACAACATCTTCAGATAGCTTAGTTTGAAAGTAGGATTATTTGTAATTTGGATTATTTCATGTTCAATATAGTGATGACCTTCTCCCCCAGTTGGTCACAGACTTTGTTGAGCGTTCACTACATGTGTCACCTCTTCCCTGTTGGGCACAGGCTCCTGCCTTGTCTGCAAAGCTCCCCTCCCGTGGCAGCTCCCCTGCCGTGGCAGCTCCCCTGCCGTGGCAGCTCCCCTGCCGTGGCAGCTCCCCTGCCGTGGCAGCTCCCCTGCCGTGGCAGCGTGGCTCTTCACGGCTGTCCGTGGCATGCTTCCCCTCAGGTGCAGTTTCAGTTCGTTCTGCTCACTGACACGCTGTACTCCCCGTTGCCGCCTGAGCTGCTTCCCACTGAGCTGGAGAAGACTCACGTGGATAGGCCTTTCCCTCGCACAGTGGTGGCTGTGGAAGTCCAGGATCTGAAGAATGGAGCCACACATTATTGGTCTTTGGAGAAACTTAAGTATGAAGACATTCCTCTGTGCTGCTTTACTTAGGAAGTGATAGCAGATTGCTCGCGTGGCTCCTCATGCTCTCCCCACCTAGGGATACAGTTACTTTCTTTTCTGAGCTGAGGGCTGTTGCCAGCCCGAGTGCTGCCATCATCCCTTCTCTTCTAAGTGAATGAGCCCCACTCTTCCAGCACCTCTGGTATTCGTAGTTATTTAAGCTTGCTCTCTGTAGCTTCTTCTAAGTGCTGGATGTTCCACTTCCATGACATTTAATTCTAGTTATCTTTTCTGTCCTGGACCTCATGATGACCAGTAGGAAACAGGGCGAGTATGACCAAGTTCCCTTTACGTTCAGGCTGGTGAGGTAACTCCCATTGTCTGAGTGTATTTGAGGTGTCACAGAGCATCGAGTTCCGTCTCCCCTGGGCTGGTTGCCTTGTTAGAGGCTAGGTGGCCATTCTTGACTTTTGGTGGCTTCTCTCTAGACTCAGACACCTAACATAGTGTTTTGGCCTTCATTTATTTTATTGATTTTTTTTTTAAAGATTTACTTATTGAGGCCGGGGAGCTGGCTCAGTGGAATAAGTGCTTCCCTGGCAAGCACAAGGGTCTGAGTTCAATCCTTGGTTCCACAAAAAAAAAAAAAAAAAAAAAGATTTACTTATTTATTTGGTACAGGGTCTCTATGCAGCTCAGACTCATAGTGATCCTCCTGTCTCAGCCTCCCCAGTGCCTGGATTATAGACGTGTGCCGCTGCCACTACCACTGCTGCCACCACCACTGGCCGGCACAGCGTGGGCCGGTACAGCATGTGATACCAGGGATCAAACCTGTATCCTTCCACTTGCCAGGCACGTGCTTAGACTGCCAAGCTATCTCCCTGGCCTGGCCTTCATGTATTTTTAATAACATGAAATAGTGGGAGTAGCTTCTTCTAAAAATAAAGTCTTTCCTACGTGATTGTGCACACCTGTGATCCCAACCCTTGGAAGGTTGAGAGAGAAGGATCACTATGGGCTTAAGGACACCTTGGACTGCATAGTGAGTTCAAGGTCAGTCTGAGCTACATAGCAAGGCCCTGTGTAAAAAAAGCTAAATCAATCAATGAAAAAAAAGTTAATGTCTTGCATAGAAGATGCTTCCAAAGAAAAATTTTAATGCCACCTCGTGCATTAATCCTGTATGCTTCCTGTTTGCTAAATAGGCAGAGGCTGGATTTGATGCGAGAGATGTATGATAGGGCAGGGGAGATGGCCTCCAATGCCCAAGACGAAAGTGAAGCCACCATGACCGGCAGTGATCCATTCTATGACCGCTTCCATTGGTTCAAGCTTGTGGGAAGGTATGTGATGAGTTGTTGTTGTCTCCTTTAGGAAATGAGTGCTTTTATTTTAATTGTTTAAAACTTCAGATAGTGTAGAACGTTAAAGGGAAAAGAGTCATCACATCCGCTTGCAGTTCCTGTGTCACTGGGTGTGCTCCTCTTCAGCGGTTCCAGTATGCGTGTTGTTTTGACTCTCAGACTTTCAGCCAAAGTATTTGACAGTCTTTCTTTCTTTCTTTTTTTTTTTTTTTTTTAAGAGACAGTATTAGGATGTTTGTTTTGTTTTTGTTTTTTTTTTCAGAACCAGGGATTGAACTCAGGTGCTTGCGCTTGAGAGGCAAGTGCTTATTCTACTGAGCTATTTCCCTATCCCCTTGACAGTCTTGCTTGACTCTGAATGTATTCATGAAATGTTTTGTAGTTGATTAAATAGACTGAGAAGAAAAAAACTTATGTCTATATTCTGCACAGTTTAAAAGTAATACTGTGTCTTTTACCAAATTGCAATCTTGCCATAATCTGATTTGTTCTCACCGTTTGAAAAGCAGTTCATTCCATTTTAAGTTTTTGCCAAGGGTGAATTGCAAAGTGCGTGCTTCGGCACCCTCTGGAGCCTTTCTGTGCATGCATTATGTTCAGCATTTTATGAAGCCAAACACTGGGTCTGTGAGTTGATATTGACTTAAGTTCTTAGAAGTTTAGGAATTTAAAGCCAGGAAAATAAATAAGTAAATAATAAAGAAAAAGGAATTTAAAGCCAGGGAAATTTTAGTTTTGAGCTTACTGCTTCCAGATTTGGAATTGTTTCACATTTACAAAAATCTTACAGTGGTTCTTAAAAGAACTAGATAAAAAGCAGCTGCTAAAGTAATAGTATGTTGTAGAAGTGAACTCTTTTCCACTCCACTCTGATAGGAGAGATTTTTTTAAGGAGTTGAGTTGGTCAGTGTGACCCAAGCAAAGCACATGCCGCTGCGCTGGGCCATTGCCTCCGTTTGGTTTTCTGTTCCAAGGTGATATGAGGATTTGGATGAACGCTGAAAGCCTTATCTTTTTGCCTTCATGTTGAGTGGCTCCTTTGAGGCCTGGATGCTGGCTGATCTTTTGTGTGAACTGAAAAATATAAAAGTTTTATAGCACAGTGCACACCTGGAATAGTCCGTTTGTGGATTTCCTTAGCTTTTCTTAATCTAAGGATCCGTCCTGGTAGAACTGTTTCAGCCCGCCCTTGTTCCCTTTCACCTGATCCAGATGATTTATGCTTATTTTATCCTTTTGCTTTTCTATTTGCTTTTACTGTGTTGATTCCTCAGTGAATTCTGTGCTGGTGGCACCTTTGGCTTCCTGTTTAACCAACTCTTCCTCTCTCCCTGGCTGTGTTACTCGGCGTCTTCCCTGGTGTCTAGCTCCCCCATTTTCCACGGCTGTGTGAATGAGCGCCTTGCCGACCGCACACCCTCCCCCACTTTTTCCACGGCTGACTCCGACATCACTGAGCTGGCTGACGAGCAGCAAGATGAGATGGAGGATTTTGATGATGAGGCATTCGTGGATGACACCGGCTCTGACGCAGGGACGGAGGAGGGATCAGATCTCTTCAGTGATGGGCATGACCCGTTTTACGACCGGTCCCCTTGGTTCATTTTAGTGGGAAGGTTGGTGAGGTTATTGTGAGAAAGGCAAAAAGGGACCAGCTCTTACTCTAAAGGAGGCCTCTGCCATTTTGGATAATCTTGCCTTAGCCAATTTAATCCGAGACTGTTTATCTGACATCCTCCAGTGCTGGGTGTTCTGCGAGTGCTGGCCTGGCCAGAGTGCAGCAGGCAGCGATGTCTGAGAACCCCAGGGAGATCCCTTGTCCTAGCAGTTGTCTGGTAATTTTATTTTGAAGCAGGAAGCCCAAAGTGGAAAGGAATTAAAGGGTCCAACCAGTGTTACAGTGATTTTGCACACATCTGTCCTTTTTTTGAGCAAGGAGTGAACTCAGGACCTTGTGCTTGTTACACAAGTGCTTATACCACTGGCTGTGGTGATTTTGATAGTTCCTTTGTAAAGCATGGAATGGAGGAAGTAGAAAGGAGTAGGGAAAGTCCAGGGTGAGGCCCAAAGTCTGTGATGCTGCAGGATCCCAAGATCTACAGGGACCCAGAGCCTGTGGTAGATTTAATTTATTTGGCCTACTAAGTGCTGAAAAAAAATAAGAAAGTCAAGTCTCTGTCACCACCACCCCTCGTATGTGTCTTGCCTTCTGTCACACAGACACAGATGCACACACACACCTTCGCTGGTCGTATTTCTGTCCATGGCCACCAGGGTATCTGTAGTCCTTTATTTTGAACATGATTTTGATTGAAGGCTTCATAACTATGAAAATCATCTGCTGACACCACCAGGAGGGTTTTGTTCAGTGCTACATGAAGCTACTTTGTGCGGAGCTCACCACGCAAGCGTTGTTTCTGGCCTCTGTGTGTGTATTGCTGTCAGTGATGCAGGACTCGCCAGGCCTTTGTCCCTGCCACACCCAGCCTTCAGCATGAACTAATTGCAACCCCAAGGATGGCAGCAGAACACTCACCAATTCACCAAGATTATGTCCAGGTTTTAAAGTATGAAATTTAAACCATGCATCGTGGCACACACAGGCAACCCCAGTACTCTTGGGAAGCTGAGGCAAGAGGATTGAAAGTTCAAACTTTCAGGCTAGGTAACTTAGTAACTTAATGAGACTTTGTCTTAAATTTTTAAAAAGGATGGGGATGCAATTCAGTGTGAAAGCCCTGGATTAATCTCCAATGCCAGGAAAAAAAAAAAAAAAAAGGAACGAAAGAAGGAAGAAAGGAAAGAGAGAAAGAACTATATATGTAATTTAACTTCAATAATGAATTAGAACCACATATTGTTGAATGCTTTAAAAGTAAGAATTATAGCCAGGCATGATAGTACATCTCTGTAATCCCAGCACTTAGGAGGCTAAGGCAGGAGAATTGCCAAGAGTTCGAAACCAACTTGAACTACATAACAAGACCCAGTCTCTGGGGGCCTGCCCCTTAGCTCAGTTCTTTAAGTGGCTGCTTCAACAAAGCAATCAAGCTCAGGTTGCTGTGGTTCAATCCCCACTACTGAAGCCAGCCAAACCTGCCCTGAAGGCATTTGGAGCCAAAAAAAAGACCCAGTCTCACAAAGCCTAAATAAGTAAATAAAATAAGGAAATTAAATGTTAATTAATTTAAGTGTTAAATGTTTAAGACCAGTTACTTAAAAATGAAAGTGGGGCTGGTGAGATGGCTCAGTGGTCTAAAGCACCTACTTAGAACAAGCTTAGTAAATCACAGGGACCACGGTTCAATCCCCAGCACCACATGCCAGCCAGCCCCGCCCCCTGGTGGGCTGAGCTGGCCACACACACATATAAGTAAATAAATTAATAAATAAATAAATAAAATTAAAATTTAAAAAAAAATAAAAATGAAAGTACGGTGAGTTTCCTGACCCACTTGACCTGGGTTCCAAAATTTAGCTCATATCATGTCATGACCATGTTATGGAAGCTTCGTACCTAATAGTGAATATTGTAGGAGGAAGGAAAGAAAAGGTTTTGATACAAATAAAATCAGTTTTAGGTCTGGGGAGATAGCTCGGTGAGCTAAACACCTGCGTGTTGCAAGTGCAGGGTCCCAAATTAAGTTCCTGATACCACATGGTACCACATGCCTTGCTGGCCCAGAAACTGGGCATGGTGGTGCATGCTTGTAATCCCAGCACTGGGGAGGCTGAGACAGGAAGATCACTGCAAGTCTGAGCTGTGTAGTGAGACCCTACATCCACAGCAACAATAAAAATGAATAAATATAAACTCAGTTTTAACTTGGAGTCCATTTAGTTTCTGGGTTTCACAGTAGCAAAAGGATATTTAGAATTTACTTTCTCCATGAAGAAATGTAAGATCACACAGGTGCTCATGCATCTGGGACACTCCAAAGTTAGGACTTTTTTTTTTTTTTTTTGCATACCTGAGGCCGCCCATGGCAGCTCTGCAGCTGTCGTCATGCCCTAGAATGAATATATTAATTTACACCTTAAATGCTCTGGGTACCACTTGGATTACCATGAGAAAAAGAGAAAGAAGAAAGTCAAAAGGCTCATGAATATTCAAAAAAGGCCAAAAAAAAAAAAGATTGGCCTGAAGGCTAAACTCTACCACAAACAGCGCCATGCAAAGAAAATGAAGACTATCAAGATGCATGAAAAGAGAAACACCAAACAGAAGAATGATGAAAAGACTCCACAAGGAGCAGGACCTGCCTACCTGCTGGACTGAGAGGGACAGTCTCGTGCAAAAGTACTTTCCAACATGATTAAACAAAAACGAAAAGAAGGGGCAGGAAAATGGGAAGTTCCTCTGGCCAAAGTTCGTGCCCAAGCCCAAGGAGAAACGCAAGTATTAAAAGTTATTCAAATTGGAAAGAGGAAAAAAGAAGGCGTGGAAGAGGATGGTTACTGAAGTCCGCGGTGTCGGATGGCTTTACAAGAAGACTAAGTGTGAAAGATTCGTTAGGCCAGTGGGCTTACATCTCAGGAAGGCCCGTGTAACACATCCGAAATGAAAGCCACCTTTTGCCTGCCAGTACTTGGTAGGAAAAAGAATCCTTCATCGCCACTGTATACAACTCTGGGTGGTGGTATTACCACAGGAACAGCGATTGAGGTGAACGAGAGCGCGCTGGCCTCGGGGCACAAGGAGGCAAGGTTACTGGGGTAAATACGCCCAGGCGGCCAGCAGTCCTGAAGGTGATGGACGCGCCAGTGCAGTCCTACTAGCTTGACAGATGCTCCGTACAGAAACTCTTACACTTAGTGAGGACTACAGACCAATCAGGAAAACCGTAACTTGAATACTGCTGAACAACTCTCATAACTACATTCATCAAGAAAACTATAAAATTGTAAAAACATTAAAATGGCAAAAAAAAAAAAAAAAAGATCACATAGCTGTGAATATTGTTTTCTACTAGCATATTGTCAGGATGAGGTGCTTATACTTTCAGAGGATCTGAATTATTTAATATTGAGGACAGTATATACAAAGAATCCAACAGCACGTCTTCCCATCTTGCTGGTGTCTATATCCTGCAGTACATTTCCACTCTGTTCTCCACTGTCTGGATGTTAGAACCTGGTAAACTCTGTCCCAGGGCCAGTCGCCCAGGCTCCAAAGCTGCTTGTGTTGTACCCCATCAGACTATGAGAAGAACCCTAACCAAATTGTTAGGAGAAGCCTCTCTATATTAATTTAGGACAAGCAGCTTAAATTGAGGCCTATTGGGTTCTCAAGCATAAACGAGTTGGGCAGGATAAAAGAAGCTTATGTGTCCTTTCCACCTTTCATGTTCTGCCGCACACACCAGCAAAATGAATATCCTGGCTAAGCCTTCTACTTAGTAACATTTTATAGTTTTGAGTGAATTGTATGGCAACATGAAGTCATAATCCTAATGAAATAGACTGGGTTAAAATACGTGTATTAGTACTGGGTGTGGTGGTGCATGTCTGTAGTCCCAGCACTCAGCAGGCTGAGGCAAGAGCATCACTGTGAGTTCAAGACCAGCTGGGGCTACATAGTGAGTGCAAGGCCAGCCTGAACTGCAGAAGGAGACCCTGTCTCAAGCAAACAGTACATGCATTATCTTTCACTCTGGTTTTATTCCTTTTTGTCATGTCCATTACATGTATAGGTATAAAGCAATCACATTGAATTTGATTTTTACATTAAATATTTATGGAGCTATGGTTCAGAAATTGATCTTTCCATTTGTTTGGGTTCCCAGATTCTAGAATTCCTTTGCCTTGCAAGAGACAGGGGCTTGGGGAGCTGGGGACAGAGCTCAGTCAGAGGTTGAGCCGTGCTTCATATGCTTAAGGCTCTTGATTCAATCTCCAGGACAACAGTTGAAGGAAAGCTTGGGAAGGTGAAATCACAGCGTCACTAAAGCGAAGGAGAGCGTCAGCGACCCCTCCGCTGCCTTTCTATGTAACAGTGCACCATCACCAGTTGTGTAGTGGTCACTGGGTATAGATGGGGAGGGACTTCCTTCCTGCGTGTGTGATCTACAGGCTTGGATTTGTCTTATTGGGACAGAACTGCAAATGGGATTTATGCCTGAAAATTCCCACGTTTCTTATGAAATTCCGTTCATAAGTTTGTTTCTTGGCTGTGACTGCCTCTGGCTACTCTTTATATTGAGATCAAAAGAGCTTGTCCCTTTAGCTGTTCTCTTCCTGGCATGCTGGGATGTTATGATCCATCACAACATGACATGGAATGTAAAATACATGATAGGCTTCTGGGGGGCAAGGTGGTTATTTGGGACCTGGATAAATAACTCAACTGACATTCTTTCTGTGTTACCGTAATCATGCCATTTTTCTTATTTATTTATTTATTTATTTATATGTGTGTGTATGTGTGTGTGTGTGTGTGTGTGTGGCCAGCTCAGCCCACCAGGGGGCGGGGCTGGCTGGCATGTGGTGCTGGGGGATTGAACTGTGGTCCCTGTGCTTTGCTAAGCTTGTTCTAAGTAGGTGCTTTAGACCACTGAGCCATCTCACCAGCCCCTCATGCCATTTTTCTTACCTTTATGTTGAAAACTTTGTTTCTCCTTTTGATGTAACTTCACAGAACTCTCTGTTAATATATCCTTTACATCTTCTCCCCTCTTCATCCCTTTTCTCCTTCAGTCTGCTGGGTCAAAGTATACGGACTTTCAAAAATGCTGAGTATTTAAGAAAATTCCATTTTAAAATGCTGTAAAGGAAAACTTTTATACAGCATTGATTTGGGCTCAGGACTGTACAGTAATACCATGACCAGGAGCTTCCCAGTGAGTGTGTGGCTGTGTCTCTAAGAGCTGATGCCCTGTTCCTGCTATAGAGTTACGGAGCCTCTTTTCTGTAAAGGGAAATAAATCTACAGTATGCTTTTCTGCTTCCCATATGGAGTAGTTGTCACCATACGCAGAAAGAAAATTTCCATCATTAATGTGCTCCAGCATGACCTGACCACAATCTGCCTGTGCCTGTGAGATGCTGTCCTAAGGAACAGTGGCTCCTGCTTTTAAATAGCTGTTCAAAGCAACAGTGAAGTAAAGTTCGGAATTTAAGCATAGTCTTCATGGTTAATACATATCATGAGGGGCCGAGGAAATAGCTCAGTAGAATAAGCGCTTGCCTGGCAATTTCAGGGGCCTGAGTTCAGTCCCTGGTTCCGCCAAAAAAAAATACATATCATGAGTTTAGTTTTGGAAAATCAGCCTTGTAAAAAGATGGCTTTGCTCTCTGCTTCTGGTGTAACCTATTCTTCTGGAAAATCTCCCACTTGTACGTGAGACTAGAGGACAGATCACTCTCCTCTTCTCTCCTGTGCACATAAAGTTCACTTGCCAGGTGCTTACTGAGTATACTTACTGAATGTCTGCACCCCCTGCAGACAGTGGTGAGCAAAACCAGAGCTGGTCTCAGTCCTGTACACTCCTGTGCTGGGTGACAGACGCAAAGTAAATAATCGCACAAAGGTAGATTATAGCAATGGTGAAAGACTTCTGTGTGCTGCTCAAGTCGTGTATGCTGGGGGGGACTTACCATGACGCTGTGAAATCAAAGGGGTGAGGTAGGCAGTGAGTGCAGAGAGGACTCGAGGCAGGAGGCTCGAGTGATGGCCTTCACCAGCCCAGGCGTCCACAGTGGGCAGGGCTGGCTGGAGTGCTGTTGCCGGAGTGGTCTGTGTGGCCGCATGGGATGACGCGCCTGTGATTCCAGCACTCAGGATTGCAAGTTCAAGGCCAGCCTGGGCTACATATAAGAACATCTCAAAAACCAACAAAATAGAAAAAGGCTTCTAATCAGCAAAGTATGAGTATGTGTGCTGATTATGAAAGAAAAATTACTTGTTTGGTTCTATGGGCCAAATTCTTAGGTGTTTAACTGTGCCATGGTACTAGGTTTATGATGGTCTAATTTATAATCCATTTTAGATTGCATTTTTGTTTCTGTCCGGTATAGCTTTAACCCTCCATCTTTCAGCATTGTCCCTTCTTCCGCTTTGGAGCAGACTGAAAGGGAAGATACCATGACCTGATTTAATGTTCACATGTAGTTATTTTTGTTTTATTCTTCATATTTCATTTGTTTTTGAAACTTACATTTGTTCTTCTGTGATGTACTTTGTTTATTTTTATTATTTTGAGTTAATTCTTGAGTGTCCACTCCTTTCTTCTCTCTTTGTTTGAAAGCAAACTTCAGAGCAGGAGAAGCAGCAGACAGGCTGTGTGTCACGTTCGTCTGTGTTTGGTTTCCTGGTGCACGTGTTTCCTCTGTGTGCCTGCCTTGTGTTCAGACATCAGCAGCCGAGTCAGAAGACAGGAGTAACAGTGGGAACTAGATACTCTTTCCCCTCTGTTCCTTAGAATGAACCCCCTCAAACTTTGTGATCAACAGTTTTTATTGCTTTACAAAATTAATAACTACAAAATAGTGAAAAATGAAAATATAAGCCAGTCGTGGTAGCATACGCTTTTGATCTCAGCACTCTGGGGGGGAGGCTTGAGGGAGGAGGCCCCAGGTTAACATGCAGCCTGGGCACCTTAGCATGACTTCCTATCTCAGAAGTAGAAAATTAGAAAAGGGCTCGGGAATGTAGCCTGGTGCAAAGGCCCTGGGTTTAATTCCCAGCACTGGGGTAGGAGACCACATGCATTTGGACCTTGCTAGTTTGAAATATAAAAGTTAGACTTACAGTTTACCTTTTCAAAATGTGTTGCTGACTTAGGTTTTAAGCTCCAAGAGGAGAGGAAAGCCAGCCTTGTGAGACAGCCTTGCTTCACGCTTACCTTGATGCCCCCTTGGAGTGTCCCAAAATCACAGCCTCTACCCACCACAGCTGCTCTCTGTACTCATCTCTTACACTGCCTGATGACAGTGGTCCTGGAAGAAAAACACAGCCACCATGTTTGGATGGGAAGGCTATTTTAGGGTTAATAACTGTGTTTCAGTTGCACACACATACCCTCCATTTTTTTCATTCAATTTTTTGTTTGTTTTGAGACAAGGTCTCCATGTGTAGTTCAGGATGTCCTCCTGCCTCAGCCTCCAGTTGCTAGGATTATAGGCATGCACCACCACCACATAGCCCCTGCTCATTTTTTTGAGACAAATTTTACTATGTAAGTCAGGCTAGCTTTGAATTTACAGCCTCCAGAGTGCTGAGATTATAGGTTTGTGCCACCACACCAGCCCTGCCTGGCTTTTTTTTTCCCCAATCTCCTGAATTGTCTCTTGGGAAAAACCAAAATTCTTGGTAATTTCTTATTTTCAAGGTTAAGCTCTTTAACAGATGCCTCTTCACCAGCGGTATTCAGAATGGTGTCCTGAAAGTCTATTTCCAGTTGTTACTCATGTACCCGCAATACACTCTGATAGAGAGGCAATGGTGTGAGTTGGCCGTTGTCGCTGCTGTGACCAGCATTTGCCCATGTTCATGTCCTGTCTGTGCAGATGAGGCAGCTCTAGCAGTTTGCGGAATTCAGGACAGGCCCAAGAGCTAGTCTTCAGAGCAGGCTCAGAAGCCAGCTGAGTTGGGGGTGAGCCTTGGAGAGGCTGAGAGCTGGTCTTTCCGTAGGGTGTCCTGACAGCTCTCTGTCCTGCTCTCTGTCTCCAGGGCATTTGTATACCTGAGCAACCTGCTATACCCGGTGCCCCTGATCCACAGGGTGGCTGTCGTCAGCGAGAAGGGTGAGGTGCGGGGATTTCTGCGCGTGGCAGTCCAGGCCATTGCAGGTAGGCAGCCCACTTCTGAAACCAGTGAGGGCTGTGGCCTCTTGCCCAGAGCCAGGGCAGGCCAGCTCTTGGGACCACACACAGCGGGTGGTGTTTGTCTGTCTTGGAGAGGCCTTTATCACTTCCTCTGTAGCCATTGTCCCCAAGTAACATAAATAGATTCTGATGAAGCCGGGCTACTGCTATTTTGGGATAATGAGGTAAAGAGATTTCCTTTACATGAGGAGCAACTCCTGGCTTGACATCATAAGAGTCATTGACATCTTAAATATAACACTTCAACTGCTTTAGAAGCAGTGAAGGATTTTCTTGCCTAAACTTTTTCCCAGCAGATATTTCCCTCGCTGTTTTGTAATGCTTGAATCAAGATTCTAATATTTGGGCTGGAGAGATGGCTCAGTGGTCTAAAGCACCTACTTGGAACAAGCTTGGCAAAGCACAGGGACCGCGGTTC